GCAGTAGCAGTAGCAGTAACAGTCGCAGAAGCAGCAGCAGAAGCAGAAGGCTCAGCAGTAGCAGCCACAGCAACAGCAGCAGCAGTAGCAGCAGTAGCAGCAGTAGCAGCAGCAGCATTAGCAGTAGCAGCAGCACATGCCATAGTCATAGTCCTAGTGAGAGTTGAGGATGGTAATCATTTCAATCACATCAGAAGCACGTAACTTCAAGGATCCCACCGCACCTGGAAGGAGGTGGCAAACTTGTACCAAGGCCCTTTGCCCACTTTATCCAAGACGCAGATCCTGCACGCAAACGTTCTGCGAGAGGGTCTGCATGCATGCTCAAGTACGCGACTTGTCCGTCAACGACTTCAGACCTATTATGCACTCTTAGAGACCTGCAGACACTCACCAGTGCTAGTTCTGTTGTAGCCTCGGTACTTCTGCTACTATATGTCTTGCAGGATAGCCTGCGAAGAGTCTGCGTTTATGGAAGAGCCCCCTGTTATAACTTTAAGCCTGGAAGGCCCGACCCCCAAAGCCCTAAACCCTAAAAACCAGAAAACCCCAAGGCTCTAAAGCCTTGGAAGCCTGAAAGCCCCTAAAACCCTCAGCCCCTGAACCCTGAACCCTAAGACCTAAGACCCTCAACTCCAAGTCTTGGCGTCTCCTGCTCCACATCTTCTCGGTAAGCCATTCTTCCGCGGGTTTCGGTAGGTGCGCGCTGCCACCCCCCAGAGCCATGAGGAGCAGTCTCCTGGCGGTCATCCAGCCACAAGGACTCATTAGGGCTGAGGCCTTTTGGATTTGTTTGGGCGAGATTTCTAGAGTTTTGCGGTGCAGGGGTTGGGAACAGCTTCCAAGGCACTGGGCTACATGGGTTGGAAATCGTGCCGGGGGCCACTTCTCTTCGAGGTTGATGTCGTCGTCAACCTCTGCAGCACACGGCCACAAGCATTCGCAGGCATGCCAAACATTTCAAACGGGCCTCCATGGACTTGAAGGCAAGCAACAGGGACAGCATGAGCTTGTCCTGTCAAGGTGTGGAGGCACGCGGAGACATTTAGATGCCGCTGTTGATTCCCGGCAGCATGCGGGCTGCATGAGTGCAGCTGCATTTCATGCAGAACCCTTGCAAAGGAACTCAGGGACCACTTCGCCTTCTCGAAGAGTGAGTGGCATGTTTGTTCCTCAGGCAGCCGGCACGTCAAATGCACAGCAGGTTCACAGCTCACACTTGTTCACATCCGACCAAGCGCAATGTCACAGCTGGCCGAGGCCCCATCAAACAGCATTTCCAGGAACTTCGACTGCAGCGCCGTCAGGCGCTTTTGAATGTTTCGTTCGAAGCGCTCCGCTGCAGCCTTTCACATCATGCGGAAAAGCACTTCGGCCACTCGCGTCGCAATGAAGATCAGACTGATATTAGAACTCCACTCTGACATTGCAGGCATCATGTTAGTGCGCAGGCAACTTTAACGCATGCGAGCTGCAATGGCTTGCTCGTAGATGCTGTAGAACCTCGGCAGGTCATGCTGACAAGTAGATGTTGACTCTCTAAGTATGTTTGGCTTTCGCATTAACCCAATAACCTGCTACAGCCTCGCTCGTTGCTCCTAACTTGTTGAAGAGCCGTCTGCTGTTTCAACCAAGGTCAGCGCCATTCCAAGCTATATTGGTACATCGGCTCCACCTCATCCACAATCGACTGATACATTAGAATAGGTTAAGCACGCGTGACGCACGCCGTCCTCGAGATCATTGGCCAAGCATAGCATGAAATCTTGCGCTGCTCATTTACTGGTGCGCCAAGCAGACTGGACGAGAATCAAGCCACAACAGCGACCTGCCGAATGCTGGGCCGGCCACGTTGCAGAGGTCCGCGATCACGAAGAACAGAGCACTTGCCTCAGAAGTCATCTCACGCATCTCTCATGAGCAGAGGCATCGGATCTCCCCAAGCTTGTGTTCGGGGTGTCTGGCCAAGCAGGAGTCTACAAGTTAATGCACATAGCCGCATTCTTGCCAAGGTGCACGAACCGCCACGGGCACCTCACAAATTCAACTTCCCTTCCACACATCACTGGTGTTCCTCTTCGAGTCTCTGAGCTTCCTGCATAGGTCGCCCTCGTCTCTTGCACTTGCGCCTGGGTCTTCTCCTGCGACATGTGTGCTACGAGTAAGGTTGGATGTCTGACTAGTTCAGGTGCACTGCGGATGGCGCCCCAATCACTGTCAAAGCAGTCCTGCTCAGCCACACGCTCCTCTATTCGAAGAGAGGCCTCGGAGAAAGTAGCAAAGCAGTTGTCGTGGCTGACACTTCGTAAGTCTCGTCCCTAATCCGAGACATATCAAACATCGTGCTCGTGGTGGGTGAGAACATTCCTCTAACCCCCTGGCTGTTTTAGACGTGATCGATGCTGCCTGCATGCGAGTGTGCAAAAATCTTCGAGACGACACCAACCAAGCGCTGCGCCGTCTTGGAAGTCGCCAAAGTGTTGATCAACTCCTGCCATCCGAATGTCATATGATGACGAGTTCATTGCAGCTGCCACAGTTCCGATACCGATAGCCAGCGCTCGACCGACTCGGAACTGCGCCTAAAGCCATAGAATAGGGAAGGTACAACAGAAACCACAAGTCCCTCGTGCTCCGAAGGAGGCTTCGGAAAACCTTGAAAGCTGTTGGAAAACCTTGGTCTTATCTGGATACGAAAACCGTTGACAAAGCCCCACGATTCCCACGATGAACAAACCATACAGTAAATCAGCAAACAAGTGCGCAAAAAAAAAAAACACAACGCGCTTGGTGGCAGAAAGCGGGAAGCCTACTGTGGCGATGAAGCACGAGGCTCGAAATAAACGAGTAAGCTTTGTCTCACAAGTATTGAACGTTAAACCCGAATTGCTGTGATGACCTCGTCGTCAAGAATGTTACCCTGGGACTCTGAGAGGAGCTGCAGGATGCGATCCTGCGCACGACTGTTCTAGGCACGACCAAGAAACAGTCAGACATCACTCAGGGTCTCGGGGCTTAAGGTCTACGGTTTGAGGCGTAGGGCTTCCAAGTTTAGACCGTGGAGACTTTCACAGAAAAGTGCAGAGTCCATGCGCAGTGTACATACACCTACGAATGTACAAACGCGCATTTACGCACAGCCTGGAAGCCAAAACACTGGATGCTATTGCCAGTTCTGGGGAATGCTGAGAGAAATGTTGCAGAGATGTGGGGAGCCTGAACTCTGGGACCCTTCAGAGATTGCCGCTTCGAGGCTCAATCTTGGCTGAGGGGTTCGGTTAATTCAGGAAGACTTGCCATGCACATGCATCCACATTATGAGCATGGGAGTGCGTACATTGCCAATCAACGAGTTCTCTGAACACAACGAACCGTGCTTCCATGCAAGTTCATGCACAAGGGCTGAAAAAGATACATCCGCGTGGACAAACTCATGGGTACACAAAGGCCCATGCATGCATGCATACATACGCAAGTAGACAGCATGACGGACAGACTACGTAAAAGCGGCCGTGTACTTGGTCATCTACCACGACAGGCTTCCAGTGAAGGTGGTTCGGGGGTTCGCGAGAAGATATGTATGTATGTATGTATGTATGTATGTATGTATGTCGTACGTACGTATGTATGTATGCATGTATGTATGTATGTATGTATGTATGTAGGTAGGTAGGTAGGTAGGTAGGTAGGTACGTACGTACGTATGTATGTATCTATATATATACACACACACATGCGTCTACATGCAAAATTTTCTACACACATGCACAGAGAGAGAGAGAGAGGGAGAGAGGGAGAGAGCGAGAGAGAGAAGAGAGAGAGAGAGAGACGAGAGAGAGAAGAGAGAGAGAGAGGGCGAGAGGGTCAAGAGAGTCAAAGCTTGGTTTAGGGCTTATAGAGTTTAAGAGTTGTCTCCCTCCCTCATCCCTAGAAATAACAAAACCAATGCTACACTGCTACACCTTAAACCTAACCCCCTCGGACCCCAAACCCTGCAACCCCAAAAGACAGGACACTGCCCTACACTGCCATCGCGTGGTTTTGGTACCCTGCCAAACCGCTAGGTTGTGGCAGCTTAGGATCATATGGGGTCCTGAATACCTTAAACACGGCAGTGGGCTACATTATGACTACAATAGCTACATGTCGAACAGGCCCCTAAGTTGCACCTTCCTGCCGCCCCCAGAACTGTTAAATCCAGAAAGCTTCGTGTTATTTGTGGAATATGCGAATTCCCCGAGGGTCCATGTGCCCATATAGCATATACTTGGGCCTTTTAGCACTCCACGTATAGTACACAGGGTAGTTCTCTAAATTCGGGTCCCTTTTAGGGTCCTTGTTATTAGGGTGCCGTACTATTTCGGTGCCCGAATTAAAGTCTAAACCCTAAACCCTGCAAAGGGACGCCAGTTTAGAGAACTGCCCATATTAGTCCATGGACCCTGAAGGGTTGGGAGTCTTCAACCAGCCTCTCGGTTTTGGGATGGGAATTACCCAACGGGCTCCTAAGTACAGGTTTAGGGTTTAGGGTTCATGTCGGGCTTAGGGTTTATGGGAAATACTTGCCCAGACCATATTAGAAGTAACTATAATAAGCATGACAGAACATTAACAAAAAAACTACAATCCACTATATAGGTACTTAGGACCCTTCGGGTAAAGAGGGTTAAGTTAAGGTTTGCCTGGGCTCCAAATAGCCTACCCCATTAACTTAAAGACATATTTCCGGAAGCCATAATAGGGACCCTGAACCCTAAGCCCTGAACCCCCTACAGCTTTAAGGAACTTTGTCTAGAAACCATAATAAGGAACCCCCAAACGTAGGTATTTTCGGCTACACAGGCAAACCCGGAAAAAGCGAAAACCCTAAATTCTCAGCCCCAAACCCTAAAGCCTGAAAAGGAAGGTCTCACGGGGCCCAGGTAGGGTTTAGAGTTTAGGGGCTTAGGGATGTAGGCTTTACGGATTCGGGAGATCAGTGATGAGCCGATAAACCACTAGGGCTTAGGGGTTGTTTGCAGGGGTTGCAAATACATGAGTCAACCCTGAGAGCGGCAGTCGTAGTTATGCCCTAAACCCTAAACCCTAAACCCCTACCCCTTATAAACCCTAAACCCTATAGGTTTAAACTTCGGGGCCTGGGTTTACGGGTTTAACATTCAGGGGCCTGCCAGTACCCGGGTTTACGGTATTCACTTTGCTTAAAAGTTATGAGCTGCAGGTTCCAGTTTTGGAGACGGCAAATAGGAGCACCTTAAGCCCTAAACCCTAACCCCTGAACCCTTAAAGTAATGATCTCTTGAAGACATCACCTTAACATAAATCCCCCAAACCACAATAATCAGCCCTTGAAAGCATTCGGGCCCTTAGGGTTTAGGGGATACTCGGGGTTGAGCCACCATTATTAGGAATGTAGGTGCCCAACTAATTAGCACTACTGTTTTGGGGGTTCCTCAGTATACTTATTGTATAAAGAGCAGCAACCCTAAACCCTAAACCCTAAACCCTAAACCCTAAACCCTAAACCCTATTATCATAATTAAATGCCTGAAGCCTGAGGCGCAAGGCTTCCCTCACAACCCTCTGAAGCCCCTAAACCCCAAAACCCTAA